TCCTCTCTTATTTTATTGAGCAGTGGCTTGTAGTTCTCCTTGAAGAGATCCTTCAATCCATTGTTAGGTATATTCCTAGGTATTTTATTTTCTTTGTGAAAATTGCGAATAGTAGTTCATTCATGATTTTTGCACAATGATTTTGCTTCCTGAGATTTTACTGAAATTGCTTATCAGTTCAAGGAATTTTTGGGCTAAGACAATAAAGCTTTCTAAAAATAAAATTATGTTGTCTACAAACAGAGACAACTTGACTCCCTCTCTTCCTATTTGAATACCCTTTATTTCTTCCTCTTGCCTGAATGCCTGACCAGAACTTCCAATACTATGTTGAATAGGTGTGGTGAGGGGAGACATCCTTGTCTTGATCTAGTTTTCCAAGGGAATGCTTTCAGCTTTTGCCCATTCAATATGATGTTGGCTGTGGATTTGTCATAAATAGTTCTTATTATTTTGAGATCTGTTCCATCAATACTAAGTTTATTGAAAGTTTTTAACATGAAGGGATGTTGAATTTTATCCAAGGCCTTTTGATGCATCTGTTGAGATTATCATGTGGTTTTTGTCTTTGGTTCTGTTTATGTGATGGATTATATTTATTGATTTATGTATGTTGAACCGAACTTGCATCCCAGGGATGAAGCTGATTTAATCATGATGGATAAGTTTTTTGATGTGCTGCTGGATTTGCTTTGCCAGTATTTTATTGAGGATTTTCATATTGATGTTCATCAGGGATATTGGCCTGAAGTGTTCCTTTTTTGTTGTGTCTCTTCCCAGTTTTGGTATCAGGATAATGCTTGTTTCATAAAATGAGTTAGGGAGGCATCCTTCCCTTTCAATTGTGTATAATAGTTTGAGACAGAATGGTACCACCTTCTCTTTGCATTTCTGGTGGAATTCAGCTGTGAATCTATCTGGTCCTGGGGTGGTTTTTTTTGTTGTTTTTGTTGTTGTTGTTGTTTTGTTTTTTTGTTTTTGTTTGTTTGTTTTTGGTTGGTAGGCTATTAATTACTGGCTCAATTTCAGAGCTCGTTATTGGTCTATTCAGGGATTTGACTTCTTCCTGGTTTAGTGTTGGTAGGGTGTATGCATCCAGAAATTTATCAGTTTCTTCTAGATTTTTTAGTTTATTTGTGTAGAAGTTTTTACAGTATTCTCTGATGGTAGTTTGTATATCTGTGGGGTGGGTGGTGTTACCCCTTTTATCATATTTTATTGCGTCTTTTTGATTCTTCTTTCTCTTCTTCTTTATTAGTCTAGCTAGTGATCTATCTCTTTTCCCCCCCAAAAAAACCCAGCTCTTGGATGCCTTGATATTTTGGAGATTTTTTTTCATGTTTCGATCTCCTTCAATTCTTCTCTGATCTTAGTTATTTCTTGTCTTCTGTTACCTCTTGGATTAGTTTGCTCTTGCCTCTCCAGGTCTTTTAATTGTGATGGTAGGGTGTCAATTTGAGATCTTTCTAGCTTTCTGATGTGGGCATATAGTGCTATAAATTTCCCTGGTAACACTGCTTTAGCTGTGTTTCAGAGATTCTGGCATTTTGTCTCTTTACTCTCATTGGTTTCAAAGAACTTCTTGATTTTGCCTTAGTTTCATTATTTACCCAGGAATCATTCAGGAGCAGGTTGTTTCATTTCCATGTAATTGTGTGGTTTTAAGTGAGCAGCAGCAGCTGCCACTGCCATGACCACCTCCTCCACCTCCTCCACCTCCTCCACCTCCTCCACCACCTCCTCCTCCTCCTCCTCCTTTTCTTTTCTTTTCCTTTTTTTTTTTTTTTTAATACAAAGTCTTACTCTGTCTCCAAGGCTGGAGTACAATGGTGATCTCAGCTCACTGAAACCTCCACCTCCTGGGTTTTAGTGATTCTCCTGCCTCAGCCTCCCAAGTAGCTGGAATTACAGGTGCCCACCACCATGCCCAGCTAATTTTTGTATTTTTAGTAGAGATGGGGTTTCACCATGTTGGTCAGGCTGGTTGCAAACTTGAGTGAGTTTCTAAATCCTGAGTTCTACTTTGATTGCACTGTGGTTTGAGAGACTGTTGGTTATGATTTCAGTTCTTTTGCATTTGCTAAGGAGTGTTTTACTTCCAATTATGTGGTCAATTTTAGCATAAATGTCATGTGGCACTGAGAAGAATGTATATTCTTTTGATTTGGGATAGAGAGTTCTGTAGGTGTCTATTAGGTCCACTAGATCCAGAGCTGAGTTGAAGTCCTGAACATCCTTGTTAATTTTCTGTCTTGTTGATATGTCTAATATTGACAGTGGGGTGTCAAAGTCTCCCACTATTATTGTGTAGGAGTCTAAGTCTCTTTGTAGGTCTCTGAGATTGTTTTATGAATCTGGGTGCTCCTCTATTGGGTGCATATATATTTAGAATAGTTAGCTCTTCTTCTTGAATTGTTCCTTTTACCATTATGTAATGCCTTTCTTTGTCTTTTTTGATCTTTGTTGGTTTAAAGTCTGTTTTGTCAGAGACTAGGATTGCAACCCCTGCTTTTTTTTTGCTTTCCATTTGCTTGGTAAAATTTCCTCTATCCCTTTATTTTGAGCCTCTGTGTGTCTTTGCATGTGAGATGGGTCTCCTGAATACAGCACACCAATGCGTCTTGACTCCTTATTCAATTTGCCAGTCTGTGTCTTTTAATTGAGGCATTCAGCCCATTTACATTTAAGGTTAGTATTGTTATGTGTGAATTTGATCCTGTCATCATGATGCTTTTTGCTTATTTTGCACACCAGTTGATACAGTTTCTTCATAGTGTCATTGGTCTTTATATTTTGGTGTGTTTTTGCAGTGGCTGGTACCTGTTTTGTTTTTTTTTTTCCCTCAGGTTTAGTACTTCTTTCAGGATCTCTTTCAGGAAAGGCCTGGTGGTAACAAAATTTCTCAGCATTTGCTTGTCTGGGAAGGATTTTATTTCTCCTTCACTTATCAAGATTAGTTTGGCTGGATTTGAAATTCTGGGTTGAAAATTCTTTTCTTTAAGAATGTTGAATATTGGCCCCCAGTCTCTTCTGGCTTGTAGAATTTCTGCTGAGGGTTCCACTGTTAGTCTGATGGACTTCCCTTTGTATATAACCTGACCTTTTTCTCTGGCTGCCCTTAACAGTTTTTGCTTCATTTCAACCTTGGAGAATCTGATGACTATGTGTCTTGGGGTTGATCTTCCTGGGGAGTATCTTAATGATGTTCCTGATATTTCCTGAATTTGTATGTTGGCTGTCTTGCTAGGTTGGGGAAGTTCTCCTGGAAAATATCATGAAGTGTATTTTTTAGCTTCTTTCCATTCTCCCCATCTCCTTCTGGTACTCCAGTCAATCATAGTTCAGTTTTTGTATTTTTTCTTATGAAGCCCCATATTTTTTGAGGGCTTTTTTCATTCCTTTTCATTTTTTTCTCTATTCTGGTCGGCATGTCTTATTTCAGTAAGGTTGTCTTCAAACTCTGATATTCTTTCTTCTCCTTGGTTGCTTCAACTGTTGATACTTGTGTATGCTTCATGAAGTTTTTGTGCTGTGTTTTTTTTGTTTAGGTTCCTCTCTAAACTGCTTACTCTAATTAACAATTCCTCTAACCTCTTATCAACGTTCTTAGCTTCTTTGCATTGGGTTAGAATGTGCTCCTTTAGCTCATCATAGTTTTTTATTATCTATCTTCTGAAGCCTACTTCTGTCAATTCATCTGTCTGATCCTCCATCTGGCTTTATGCCCACGATGGAGCAACGTTGCAATCATTTGGAGGAGAAGAGACACTCTTTTTGTGTTTTTAGCATTGTTTGGTTGATTCTTTCTCATCCTCTTGAGTTTGTCTGGTTTTGATCTTTGAGGCTGCTGACCCTGGGATAGGTTTTTTTGTGGAGGTCCTTTTGTTGTTGATGCTATTGTTGTCACTTTCTGTTTGTTTGTTTTTCTTTCAACGGTCCGGCCCATCTTCTGTAGGGCTGCTGCAGTTTGCTCAGTGTTCACTTTAGGATTTATTCATCTGATTTGCTCCCGTGCCTGGAGTTGTCACTCAAGGAGTCTGGAGAGCAGCAAAGTTGGGTGCCTGCTTCTTCTTCTGGGACCTCTGACGTTGAGGGACACCAGCCTGATGCCAGTAGAATTATTCCTGTATAGGATGTCTGGCAGTCCTTTTTTTGGGGAGGGGTCTCACCCAGTTGGGTGGCATGGGGGAACAGGACCCATTTAATGAAACACTTTGTCCCTTGGTAGAGAGGGTTTGCTTTGCTGGGGGGAAACCCGCTTGTCTGGGCTTCCTGGATTCTTCAGAACTACCAGGAAGAGAGACTAACTCTGTTGGTCTACAGAGACTGTAGCCGCCCCTCCCCATGGGGCTCAGGTCCAGGGAGATCTGTATTCTGTCCCTGAGACCCTGGCTGGAGTTACTGGAGTTCCTGCAGGGAAGCCCTCCCCAATAAGGAAGGATTGATCAGGGTTAGACCCGAAGAGGCACTCTGGCTGCAGACTGCCACAGCCAGTGTGTTAGGCTGTGGGGACAATCTTGGGACCAAGCTGTCCAGCCTCCCTGGCTCCAGCCTAAAATACTGACTTTATTAAAACCAAGAATATTGAAAAGTTTTTACCAGAAGTCTCTTTTGCAACAATAGATTAGAGATTGTTTTTCTCACTTCGTCCCACTGAAATCACAGCAAAAGACATTTCTCATTTTCAAACAGCCTTTCCTTTCCTAAATAAGCATATTGTCCCTGAATATACATATATTCTTTTTCACATCACAATTTAGTTTAATTTAGGGAGTATTACTGTGTACATATTGATAGGTGAGATTGTTCTATAGTTTTATGTTTAATTTTGTTTTCAAGGATCTGTTAAATCAAAAAAACCAAACATGATTAAGATGTCAAATAACTCAGAAGAGTTCATGTTTAAAAACCACCGTAGGCTGTTTGGCTTCTCTGCCTTTCAGATCGCACTTTCACAGGTCATCCATTTCTATTTTTGCTTCTTTGGTGGTTACTTCTACATGTGTAACTAGTTTACTTAAAGTGCTTTTCTTGAGTTATTAACTTAAGGTGTTATCTACTGGCTTTCTGCTAAGAAAAATGAACAATTGCCCTTTTAAATCACTTTCTATCATAGCAAATGTTTACTTTGCATGTCTTTCATTAGTGATCTTTGCAAATTCAGATGCTGTGGTTTACTTCAGCCACTGCTTCTTGTTCTGGAAACCATCAGGGTCTTCTGGGTAAGGTGAGGAGAACATTGCTGATCTCCCCTTCTCCGAGTCACCTTCATCTTTGACATTGCCAGCCTTGTTTTTACTTTTTTTGTGGCCAAGGTTGGTAATTTTTAGACTTTTCTCTGTAACTATTCTTGCCTTTTGTGATTGGTCAATGGAAGGCGATGGGGGAGCAGGCACCAGGGCAGCATGAGGGAGTGTGAGCATGCAGGAAAAAACTGCCACTTTTAAAACCATCAGATCTCTTGAGAATTTACTCACTGTTATGAGAACAACATGGGGGAAACCTCCCCAATGATCCAGTCACCTCCCTTGCTTGACATGTGGCAATTACAGGTCCCCCCTCAACACATGGAGATTACAGTTCCAAGATGAGATTTGGGTGGGGACACAGAGCCAAAGCATAGCAGTCAGTGTAATGGTTCTAAAGTTGAAAGTAGATACATAGCTCTTCCATTATTCTTGCGGTGTAAATAGTTTCATTGAAAAACCAAATTGTGTGCTAGGATCATACTTTCTTTTCTGCTAGACTTGGGCATATCTTCTCTACCTCTCAAAGGAGAATGCTTCTACCTTTAAGGTTGAATGGATTCTCTCTTTTACTTACACCCACTGTTTACTTTTATCACACCATCTGAACTTCTCTTATCTTGTGAGGGATCTTAATCACTTCCAGAGCTACCTGTCTTACTGTTCAAATCTTCACTCAATTATATTCATGGCTGTCCTCTGAGATGAGGTGGATTTTCACAGTTAGTATTACTGGCTTCAGCCCAAGAACAAAGATTTTTGTATGTGTGCCAGCCCCGGCCTGAAAGTTTCCCCAGACACATTTTTATAGGTGTTCATAACCTGATATTAAAGTGAAATGAACAAAAAGAACAAAAGATTAATATTTTCAGTTCAAACAGGACTACATTCTTATGTAACTTCCCATGAAAGAGAAGTAGATAGTGACATTTTCAGAGTCTGGTGTGTCTTAAAATGTCTGGGTGTAATTTAATTGATAGTTTTGCTGGGTATACAATTTTTGGCTAAAGATCACTCTTACTTAAAATTTTGAAGTTATGGTGGCATTTCTCCCTAGGATTCAAAGTGGTTCATAAAGAGTCAACTCAGCCTCTCTCTTGCCCTTGTTGTTTTTGTGAGCTTAAACACTTAAAAATCCACTTATGATCATTCCAGTGAAGCCCTAGAAGATAAACATCAGTGATCAGTTTGCCCTTTTTGACTGAAAATACTGATTTTTATACCCTTTTTAATTTTGTCTTAATATCAGACTTGGATGAACCTCCTAAGATGTGTTAGGAAGCAGATGACAACTTCTAGGTTTGGGGCTGACAGAAAAATGTTTCCTTGTAGTGCCGAAGCAAATGGTGTAAACTTACTTAGCTACCTGGTTTCCTTTGCCATGTATCAGAGCCTCTAATTTTCACCATGGTTTGGACCTTGTTTCCATCTTGAGTATTGGCAATCCCTTTAGCTTTAAACTTATCTCTTCAGTCAGTCATCTGACTAACACTAAGCTCGTATAGCTCAGCCCTCTGCCACACTCTATCCCCAACCCCAGGGCTGTGTTTGAACATAAGAGGACACAATTGACCAACATAAATCACCACACCCTTTGGCTTCTTCAAATGAACATGCTATGTCTGCTTGGTCTTTATAAGACCTAAATGAGTTCAGGAGTGCCCCTTTCAAAAAATGTACTGCAAAAACATCAGTAAATAGTATAAACTTTATTAAACATTCCTTGTGTGAGATGGAGAAAGTATATATCTCAGAGGAAACAACTGAAAATTAATATTAGACCATTTTTTTCAATGTTCATTCTCACCTATACTCCCATTGCTTTTATTTAACCCTTCTTTTTTCTTACTCAGCATTTGGTCTCACTTGCTCTGTCTCTTTTTTCTATTGTATTTTTTCTCCCACCTATTATGGAAGGCAATTAAGTTTTGCTTCTATTTTATTCCCACAAGCTGACATGTTTAAACCAATCTTGTTCAGCAAAATAGAGGCCTTCTGATTGATAGGACCTTCCTTTTGAAAAGTGAATAAAAATATTTCTTCTAACACATGAAGTTTATTTGCAAGAAGAATTCTTGTGAATGACGTTCTTGCCATCAGTTATAAGCACAGAATTCTTGTGTCACCCATCTCCTGATGAAATGTGGCACTAAAGATGGCAGTCATGACATTTGCTTCCTTTATAAAATAAATGGAATGTGCTACATGATTCCTAGGATTACTTTAAGTGCTAACATTTTATAATCCTATAAATTAGATAACTAAGTTCATTACTGCAGAGTAATAACAGCTTATTCATTCACAACTACATTTATTGGAAACATATTCTTCATATAAAGTTTGAGAGCTTGCAAAGCAATTTACATATATTGTCTAACTTAGTACTTCTAAAAAAATCCACGATTTCAGAATTATAATTACTATCCCAACTTACATATGGAAAATGTGACTCAGATACTTGGGTTAAGATCATTGACAGAAACTAAATTACAGAATTCCTCCTGACCAATACCTACTAAATTAAATTGAATAAACAAGAATACAAGAAAATAAAAATAGATGAACTTCACCACAACATCAAAACAAGGGAAAGAAAATGATCAAACGCAATTTTAAACACTGGTAAGTAAGGAAAGCAACAGGAGACACAGAGTGATGTGGAGAAGTATAACTAGGCTTCTAAATCTTTTTCCCACCTACCACAAAGTATATTAGTAACACTGCTGAGATTTCTCAATACCAAACATGTAGAGAAAATCAAGTTGACTGGGCAACATTACCCTTTCTCTCATCTGATTAAGAAATAAGAAAAAATGGCTTGGGGTTGGGATGGGGGGATAAACAAAGCAGAGGAAGGGGATTATGGAGGAGGCTAACTTTCTCTAAGGGTAGTGAAATCTTCAGGACTGTCTTCTAAATTGAGTAAGATAAATGAAAATAGGAGCTTTCTCCTCATCGGAAAAGTAAATACCTACAAGTAGATGTAGTGAATATGAGAATGAGATATTCACAAAATCTAAAAAGAAACAGATGCTCAGTGGTCTAAGAATGACCAAATATCACCTTAGATGAGCTCTGTCTTTCCTTCTCACTGTTTTGTTAGGCTCAGAAGTCAGACAGAATAATGAATATTCAGTCTTTAAACTTTAACTTCAAGGGGAAAACTGTTTTCGGATATGGTAGGAAGAAAGTCAGGTGTCACTTATGCCGTATATCATAGCAAATGGCATGTCAGGATGAAGCCACCCAAGCAGAGCCACCTAGGCAGGACACGAAGGCTACAAATGTCATGGCAACATTAAAGCATACCACAAACAATAATTTAAAAAACAATAAAGGGAGAATGAGAAAGGAAGAGAGGGTGGGAGGAGGGGAGAGGGCAAGGAAGGAGGGAATAAAAAAGGAAGGAAAGGATGCAAGCAAGCAAGGGGCTGTGATATGCAAGAGCAAGGATTCTAACCTTAAAAAATAATTAAGAAAAAGAGGTAAATGATTCACCATTGCTTTACCCTACAGAACAACTTGATATGAACACCAAGTTGGTAAAGTGAGAGTTCAAGGATGATGGAATAAATGAACAACACGAGATTAATAGGGACGAAAGGAAACAAATGGAGGCCCAAAATAGCAGTAATAGGATCAAAGAGCCCATAGATAAGTGACAGCAAAAAAATGAAACAATGCAAAAACAAAAGAAGATATACATTGCTGGAAAAAAAGTGTAGAGGAAAGTCCTAACAAGCACATGAATACAGATGAGATCAAGTGGTAAAAGTAGTCAAGAGAGTATTAACATAAAGATAGCTAAAGGAGAAAAAATATATTCTATGATAGACATAGACATAAAGATATATAATTTAAAGGTATGTACATGTAATATTTTATTTAAATACATTGTAACAAAATATAACTTAATATAACAACAAGAACAACTTCTTCTGGAGTTGATTATGCATGAAACACTTATTTAGAGGTTTACATGAATTAATTTTTTGCAATAATTTGAGGTCAATACAATTAGTATTCCCAATTTATAGATGGGGAAATTAAGACATAGTTACATAACTTGCCCAAGGCAACACATCTAGTATATATAACAGAACTGGGATTCGTAAGCGTAGAATGATGCTATTTTGCCTCTGGATAAAAAAAAATTCCAGAAGCAAATAAATAACTGAATGTGGAGATCAAAAGAGAATGTGTTGCAAGCAATTGTACCATTTTGCTTACTTACCAGCAATGTATAAGGATTCCAATTGCTCCATATCCTCCCAACAGTTGTTATTGTCCATTTTTGGACTGTAGGATTCCACTTATAAGTAATGTCTAGAATATGCAATTTCATAGAGATAGAAAGTAGATTAGAGGTTACCAGACTGGGGCAGGAGAGGATAGAGAGTTATTGTTTCATGGTTACAAAATTTCTCTTTGTGGTGATGAAAAATTTTTAGAAGTAGATAATGGTGATGGTTCCAAAATATTGTGAGAGTAATTAATGCGGCCAAATTGTACACTTAAAATGGTTACAATGATAAATTTTTTGTTACATATTGTAGCAAAATAATAACAAAGGGACAAAGTGTTCCAGGAAAATGTGGTACATAATGCTAGACACCAAAACTTACCCTAGTTAAGCTACTAAAACTTGGGATAAATACAGAATTACCCAGTTTTCTAGACACAAGAATATCCTCCACAGGGAGAAAAAAAAAAGTTGTTCTCAGACTTCTCTATAGCAGGATTCAATGTCAAAGATGAAACAATGGTTATCTAGAAGATTTGAGAGAAGGAAAGCATAGTTTAAGAATACAATATAAAGCTCACAAGTTGTCGAGAATAACTGTACTCAGGCAGTGTAATGTCAATAAGATCTTGAAAAAATACTTTATTACAAAACACAACTAATTAAAAGCAAACAAAAATGAAAGATTCCTGAATGCAGACCTCATGGCATAAGGATTGATAAGTGGTGAAACCATATAAATATGGGACCTGAAATAAACAGCTTGGGCAATTACAATTATAGATCAGGGTATAAAGGTTAAAACCCGGGCAGTGTAACAACGGCAGCCACCAACAATTAAAACTGAGAAATTGGGAGAGGGAGGAGAAGTTGAGAGGAAGCGTGAGAGCCCTAATGCCATATTTGACAGCATGTAGTCATTAAATAAGCTTAAAATCAAAATAAATCATTAAAATATAACATAATTACTTCAAGCTCTTAATGCTTTCTTCACAATTTGTGTTCTTAAAGAGATCTTTTGGTAAGTATCTTGGTGAAGAAGTATTTGAAAGCCTAGATTTCTTTCAATTTTGTTTTAATTTTGTCTTCTGCTAAATACAAGTAAAGACAAATACAATATTTTTAAAAAACTTAAAGTGGCATATATTTTATCCCACATTTGATAGTATTTATTTCCACTATTCTTCCGCCTGTCCACCTATCTATCCATCCATCCATCCTTTTGTGTCTGTGTATATCGTAAAATATTTAAAATGATGTTTGCCGTATGTTATTGACAGTTATTCTGGTTGGTGAGACTTAAATTTTTTTAAACTTGAATCTTTGTACTTTGCATTTCTTGAATTCCTCAAAATAAATATGTATCATTTCACAGTAACAATAAAGTAACCTTTCTTCTTTAAAAATAAAAAGGCAAAGCAAGTATGTAAGATGTTCACAATGGTTAAACCTTGATGGTAGAGTTATGGGTATTTATAATTTTATTCTTTGTAGGTTTCTCAATTTTCTGATACTTTCAACTTATGAAAATGTAAAGAGCATAAAAGGAAAACAAATAAAGTACAAAGGGGCTCCTCCTAAGTTACGTAGTCAGAAAGCGATGGAGCGATGGTTCAAGCCTAGATGCAAGAACAGAAATTAAAAGCTGGCAGTGGAGGGGCAGGTGGGACAGGGGCAAAGGGGAGAGGCAGCATCGAAAGACTTCTCTGGTAGAAGTGATCTAACTTTTCCACCTTGTAGAAGTGATCTATTTTCCTCTTGTGGGTGAGGATAGCGTTTCAGTTGTTGGGTAAGTTACTTGCAGTGAACCTGATGCCCACACTATTGTAGGAATGCTAAATCCACAGGCTGTGAGAGCTGGAAAGCAACTGGAAATCCATCCATCCAACCTGCACTTGAACAGATGAAGGACGACAGGCACCAGATACTATTTTATACAATGGATAAGCTTTAGAACTGGGTACTACTTTTAAGGCAATTGGGTGCAATACTGAATGCAAGCTGAACTTTGTGATTGCCCTGCATGAACCAGGAGTCTCCAGGTCCTGACCAGACCAGTTCTATAGCCATGCGGTGAGCGCTGATTCAAATTCAATAGATATTTAATTCAGGCTTCCCTTGTGCCTATAACTGTGCCAGGTGCTTTGCCTCGTTCTGTCTTACATAATCACCCCAACATCTAGGTAGGTTATCTTCTCCTCCCACTCTATTTTATTAGTATCAATTTGAGTCTATGCATGAGGGTAACTGAATTTTTCTTTTGAGATGGAGTCTCGCTCTGTCCCCCAGGCTGGAGTGCAGTAGCGCAGTAGCGTGATCTTGGCTCACTGCAATCTCTGCCTCCTGGGTTCAAGCAATTCCCTGCCTCAGCCTCCTGAGTAGCTGAGATTACAGGCACCTGCCACCACGCTTGGCTTATTTTTGTATTTTTAGTAGAGACCGGGTTTCAGTATCTTGGCCAGGCTGGTCTTGAACCCCTGACCTCATGATCCACCTGCCTCAGCCTCCCAAAGTGCTGGAATTACAGGCGTGAGCCACCGCACCCAGCCGGAGGGCAAGTGACATTTACAGAGTCACTCGGTGTAGTTGTAGTGGAGTTGAATCAAGCCCCCTTCCCCCAGGATTGTGCAAGTCCTAATCCCTGGAACATGTGACTTTATGTGGATAAAAGATCTTTGCAGATGCAGGTGAGTTAGGGATCTCAAGAGGAGGTCATCCTGCATTTAGGATGGATCCTGAATCCAATGATAGCTGCCAAAGTGAGAGAAAAGCAGAGGGAGATTTGAAATGCGAGACAGGTGGAGAAGACCACATGCTGACGGAGGGAGGAGGACTGCAGGGAGCACCAGACACATCCAGAGGCTGCAAGAGGCATGGAGGAATTGTTGCTTAGAGCCTTCTGAGGGCACGTGGCCTTGCTGACCCACCTTCATTTCAGACCTCTGGACCCCAGAACTGTGAGAGAATGAATAACCACTAAATTTGCGGTAATTTGTTCCAGTAGCCCTAGGAAAGTCAAACATTAAGATAGGAAAATGGCTGGAAAGGACTCCAAGCCAGGGTTTCTGTCTTGCGGATTGGTTCTTTCTGTTCCATCTCAGTGCCATTCTCACCCAAATGCCGGTGAGCAAGGAGTAGCCATCCCGATCTGGGAACCACACCTGGCTGGAGTCATACCTGGTACCTGGAATCACACCTGGCAGGAAGGGGCTGTGTGTCCCTTATGTTCGTTTCAGGCAGCCCTGTCTCCCATCCTCCATAGTCTGGCTGACTTTCTCTGCCCAAAGCAGTTTTGGAGGCCTTGGAGAGGAAGGAGAACTGGTCAATGATGTGGTGATGGCACCAACATCTCTTGCTTGGGCTTTTGATTCAGCCCCTTAACTAATCTCCCTGCTGCAGCCACATCCTTTGTGACACAACTTACATCCCTCTAGCCCCAAGATATTGCTTGTTGATGTTGCAGCTCCCCAAGCGCTCTCCTGTACCAAAGGGCACAAAGTCCAGAAGCCACGTTTCCCAGACTTCTTCACCTGCAGGGTCCCAGTGTGATCCCTTCGATAAGAGATACGGAAGGCCGAAGAACCGTGAGTCTCCCTCCGGCAGCTGAGAGCCCCTGGAGCAGTGTGGGCAGTCAGCGGACTTCAGGCTGTGCCCATGTTTGTTGAGCATCTACCCAACAGTCACCCAAGTTTCCTAAACTACAGACTTGACTTTTCCTGGGGTCCTTATGCTTAGGGATTTCCCAAGGACCAACTTCCCACCTGACATTCCCCAGCCTTCCAATAGTGGGTAAAGGTCTGTGTCTTCTTATGAAAACTATGTACTTGATGCATGCAGAGCAGCTCCTGTTTTTTTTTAGAGGGAACCTTAACAAAGACATTGATCTTGGTGAAATGAATATTTTATCACGTCTCAATTCTTCTTATAAACATCTGTGGGCTCTCAGTGTATGGTCAGCTCCTTGGCTTGACTATTGAGAACTTGCTTTGTCCTTGACCTGAGCTCCCATGTCCCCTCACACCAATCAGGCCAGGACACCCAGTGCCTCTGTGCTGTCGTAAACCTGGACTTTCTCATCCTCTTCCCTCTGCCTGAAATGATCGTTCCCTCTCTACCTGGAATATTCCTATGTGTTTTTAAAGAACCGATGCAAATGTCCCCTCCAAAACGCCTGCACACAGCAACTTGCTCCCCACTTGTGCCTCCAGAGATTGGTACTGTTGGTTTCTCTGGGAAGCAGAATCAGAGATGGAGATGAGTGTTTATTAGGATGGTTTTGGGATTTGTCCCCTGGACTAGCAGCTATGGAAGGGCAGGAAGGGACAAGAATCAGGCTAGAGAAGGAAGTGAGCTGATGCAGACCTCAGGACATCATTAGCCAGCTGCAAAGGGAGCTAAAATGGCCAATCCGTGTCGGCAACAGGCAGGACTGGCTGAGGCTTTCCACCCCAGCCTCCATCTGCCACTGGATGTGCAGTTCCCAAAAGGGCAGGCATTGGGTCAGCCCGCACTCTACACTCTGCAGCTGAGACAATCCCTGGAAGGCCTGAAGACTGCTGAAGACTGTGTGCCTAAGTGCCCCAGCAGCTGGGGAGACAAGTTTCTTTAAAGGGAGACCTGAGGCTGGGCATGGTGGCTCCTGCCTGTAATCCCAGCACTTTGGGAGGCCAAGGTGGGTGGATTTCCTGAGGTCAGGAGTTCAAGACCAGTGTGGCCAACATGGTAAAACCCCATCTCTACTAAAAATAGAAAAAAAAATTAGCCGGGCATGGTGGTGTGCACCTGTAATCCCAGCTACTTGGGAAGCTGAGGCAGGGGAATTGCTTGAACCAGGGAGGTGGAGGTTGCATTGAGCCCCAATCACACCACTGCACTCCAGTCTGGGTGACAAAGCAAGACTCTGTCTCAAAAAAAAAAAAAAAAAAGAGAGAGACCTGGGCAGGGCATCGCCAGGTGCACCGTACCTATTTAGAACAAGATGTCTTCAAGAATAAAATATTTATTCTGTGTCTCTGCATCCTTGGTACCATGTACATAATGTTTGCTCAGTGAATGTTTAGCGGGCACATAATGAGTAAAAGAATGAATGAATGAGTGAAGAAATGAATGAATATAAGGTCATGGAAGACATAGAAGCCCAATTAAACAGGAAGTTCTTCAAATGATTTCTATACAGATTGAGAAGTTTCGCCTGCACCTGTTGGCCATGCTTTTGGCTCTGGGTCACATTGTATCAATTTTGGTTAGGACAAGGGAAGCATGGGGAATGCCTTAACCCTTGGTGTAGGTGGTGAAGAAAATAACCAGAAAATCCTGAGAAGTAGTTAAAGCATTGAATTCCTGTGTTTGAAATGAGACAGTGGGTGCCACAGAGAGCACAGGGCTGGGAACCCTTTCCACGATACACAGAGACCATGGTGGAAATAACCTTAAGAGCCTTTGGGAATGTCAGCCCCTTCCAGTTTGCCTTAAAAATTCCCATGAGAACAGCAACAAAGGCAACAGATCATAGCAACACTGGAAAGTAAGACAGGCAACCCTTTGACAGAGTCTGGGAGAATTCTCCTTCAACTCCAAGGCTAATTGGAATGATCAGGAAAAACATGAACTCAGCCACCTATGCTGTGATGCTAACAAAAGGAAGATGTGGCATTCATCGTTTTCTGTGCCTCTAGTAGAAGACAAAGGTCTGTACTAACTTCAGTGAGCCAGACATCCCTTTATAGCATGAACAGGACTTTCTGAAGCACTCAGAATTCTATTGTTTTTCTCCCACCCTTTTTCACATCTTGCTTGAGGCTGAAGCTTACAAATACAACAGGGCAAAAATTAACAGAAAAATTGTGGCAGCACATGGCATCTTGGAAGGTGTAGTTTTCACAAGTGCAGTGCTACAGGCGGGCTGGAAGGAATGCTTCTGTGGATGGTGGTTTTCATGTACTCCATCTGTTCATAGTGTCAGAGAACCAGGCAGTAAGTGACAGAGAGGATCCAAACCCCGTCCTTCTGAATCTAATCATGGTCAATAATAACGGCTGGTCGAGTGTGGTGGCTCACACCACACTCTGTAATCCCAGCTCTTTGGGAGGCCGAGGCAGGCAGATCACGAGGTCAGGAGTTTGAGACCAGCCTGACCAACATGGTGAAAAACCGTTTCTACTAAAAATACAAAAATTTGCCAGGTGTGGTGGTGCACAATGTAATCCCAGCCACTTAGGAGGCTGAGGCAAGTGAATTACTTGAACCCAGGAGGCGGAGGTTGCAGTGAGCTGAGATCATACCACTGTACTCCAGCCTGGGTGACAGAGCAAGACTCTGTCTCAAAAAAAAAAAAATGGCTAACATTTATTCAGAATTTAGTATTTACCCAGCACTGTTATAAGTCAGAGGTCAGCAAACTACAGCCCATGCATGGACCCCTCTGCTGCCTGAGTTTGTAAAGCTCTATTGGAACACAGCCTCATACATCCATTTTTTCCACTGTCTTTGGAGTTGTTACACTCCAACAGTAGGATTGAGTAGTTGCAACAAAAACATTATGGCCTGCAAAGCCTAAAATATTGACTGTCTGGCCCTTTATTAAAAAAGTTTGTCAGCCTTCCTACTGTCTGTTACCTGTATTAAGTCAGTTAATCTTTAAGATTAACTGAGGATCCTGTGAGGTTTGTCTTTTCATTATCTCCATTTTACAGATTGGGAAACAAAGACAGAGAAAAAGCTATGTAATTTGCACAGGGACGCACTTTAGGAAATGGGAGAGGTGGGTTTTGGCTGCAGGGGTGTGGCTCCAGAGGCTACATCTTAATTGCCATGCTGTGCTCCCAAGAACAAGTCTATGAGATAAAAAAAAGTCTTCCCCATATTAGAAATTAGTATGAGATGTACCTGTCTACCTGCCTTCCAAATGTGTATTCAAAAAGAGGATTTGACAGATGAGGGACAAATCTGCTATCCTTGTTCTATTAGCAAAAGATGAGAACCACTGGTCCACAGTATTTAGAAGGGAGTAGGTTGAGACTCAAGAAATGTAGTATGGGCATATGATCTATGCTATAAAAGTGATGCAGCATCAGAAATGCACAGGCTCAGAAAATAGACCATTCATAGATCCTTCCTGGGGAAATAATCATTGCAAAAGTACTTCGGAGCCTCGGAAGATGAGCTAAAAATCAAGAACTTTAAAAGGGGAAATCATGGCATGAAAGGCTGGTGTGCATTCCCTGGGAGTTGTCTACAGGAGCCCTATTCAACTTGTTTCAAAGCTCTTGAGGAGCATTTTCATCTCAGCAAACTGTCTCTGATGAAGTATCTTGACTGTTTTGTTCACAGCTGTATTCCCGGGGCCTACAATAGTGCCTGACACGTAGCAGACACTCAATATACATTTGTTGTAGAACTAACCTGCTGCATCAGTGAACAGGCAACCCTGTCGAAGGGGTGCTTGCATCTTTCCCATTGGGATCTGGATGTAGCTTCAATGCAAACAAGGCTACTATAGACTGTTGTCCCTGATTAAACCTCTTCTTCAGGAAAAAATTTACCAACCACAGTCACAGGCCCAATTAAATGTCATACCTCCTTGGAAAGCACTAATGTATGCCAGGAAGTGAGACTGTAAGGGAATGCCTCAAGACATGTGCGGCTGTCTTTCCGTAGTGTTTGACTTTTCACTCCTCCTTTCTACTATTCTGTTTGTCTCCCTGTGTATCGTTTTATAGTTAGAAACAATTAATATTTTCCCATGCTCCTGATAAATAGGATGTTTCATCATCTCTACAGAAACCCTCCTAGGACTGCCTTAGGTATCTCTTTGGGTGATGAACAGAGTAGGGCTCTAGAAAGCTTATTAGGAATTGAATTCTGTCCCCACCAAATTCATATGTTGATGTCTTAACTCCTCTCAAAATGTCGCCTTATTTGGAAGTAGTCATTCTAGAGGTAATTAGTTAAGATAAAGCCATATTGGAGTAGGGTGTGCCCTGAATCCAATGTGACTTGTGTTTTTTTCTCTTAGAAGTGGAGACAGATGCACACAGGGATGAACCATGTGAATCTGAAGGCAGAGATCAGGTAGGGGGGTGCATCTGCAACCCAAGGAATGCCAGAGATCACCAGCAGTCCACCAGAAGCTAGGGGAGGGCATGGAACAGATTCTTCCTCTCTGCCCTCAGAAAGATCCAACTTTGCTGACACGTTGATCTCTGGCTTCCCACCTCCAGGACTGGGAGACGATCAGTTTCTGTTGTTTCAGCCACTCACTTTGTGGCATTTGTTATGGCGGCTCTGATGAACCCATCCAGCTCATTGATTCCCCAGTGGTTGTCAGCGATATAGCTGTCTCTGCCTCCTCATCTCATCTTCCTCTGCTCTGTCTTTTCATCTGGGTTCAGGTTCCATGGCAGGGCTCGGTGGAATCGACAGAGACAGTATCTTTGGTGGTCTGGAGTGCAGAGACCACTTGACGGGATGATGTGGACAGCAGCAAGAGGAAAGGGAACCCAGGAGAGGGCTGAGGTCTGCGCTGTGATCAAGGGGGAGAGTCCAAAGTGCATTTTGGTACAAAAAGTGGGACAAGGGAGGAGGGCAAGGGGTGGAGAATGGGTGAAAGGTAAGACTGAAATAGGAAACCAGCTTTGCAGCTGAGAGGATGGGGCAGGTGGAGGAGTGAGGGATGAAAGAGGAAGAGTGGGTTCAGGATGAAGGCTATAGAGAATCAAGGGGGGTTCAGGGGCTTGATTTCAAGAGGCCCCAATGGATGGAGACATCTGAGTGGCTTCAAGGACTCAGTGGGTCTGGGAGACTCCTTATGTGTCATTTCTGTGAGTTGTCCTTCTCTCCATATGTCCTTTTCCTACCTCCTGGCACATTAGGGCAGCTGTGGTGCCTCAGCAATGAGGGCCCCACTCCCAGCTGGCCCTCAGTGGGGTAGGGATTGGAGTCTTTTCCAGAAGTGCATATGGGAAGGCAGTTTCAAGAGAGGCAGTGTAGGGCAGTGGTCAGGAATGCAGGCTTGTCCGGGCGCAGGGGCTCACACCTGTCATCCCAGCACTTTGGGAGGCTGAGATGGGCAGATCGCCTGAGGTCAGGAGTTCCTGACCAACCTGGCCAACATTGTGAAACCCTGTGTCTACTAAAAATACAAAAATTAGCTGGGTGTGGTGGTGCATGCCTGTAATCCCAGTTATTTAGGAGGCTGAGGCAGGAGAATCGTTTGAACCCCCAGATGGAGGTTGCAGTGAGCAAAGATCATGCCACTGTGCTCCAGTCTGGGCGACAGAGCAAGACTCCATCTCAAAATAAAAAAACAAAAACAAAAACAAAACTCAGACTCTGGACCTGTGCTGCAATGCTGTGGAATCTGGTGATCTGTCCTTGTCCCTTCATGGGAAAAGCAGGGAACAACCAGTGTACAGGAGCTGGCATGAACCCCAGGTTACTGTGGTCCACCCTGATAGGCTGAGATTCAGGCAACCTGTCTGCAAAAAAAAAAAAAAAAAAAAAAAAAAAAGCGGGGGGGTTCTCAAACTTGAGTGGGTATTAGCATTCCGTGGCTGGGATACTTGTTAGAACCCAGATGGCTGACACCACTCAGAGTTTCTCATTAGTCATTGTAGGTTTGGGCCCAAGGATTGGCTTTTTGAGCGTTCCCCATGACGCTGATGTATCTGGCTCAGGGACCACTGGTGAAGAGAGATGTTCCTTGTTGTCAACCGCATGGAGATGTTCCATGGCCTCCTGGTGCCTTTGAGGGCCGCTGCCTCTGTGGACAGTGAGACTTGGACCTGCCTTACTCTGCTGAATTCCAGGGTCAGTTATCTCAGTGCTGTAGTGAAAGATTGACATGAGGGCTCAGGAATGCCACTGCTGTCACCGACGAGCATGGTAGCTAACTCTTAACATGTCAGGTACTAATCTAAGCCTGTAACATATAGACACATTTAATTCACATAAGAAGCCTAGGAAGCATGTACAGCTTTTGCCATCATCACCTCCATTTTTCAGATGGAGAAACTGAGGCCCATAGAGGTTAAGCATGTGGCCCAGGCCACACAGCTGGGAGCCGACAGAGCTGGGATTTGATCTGGCGTTTGAATCCACAGTCCATGCCCTTGTCCTGCACTGTTCCATCGCTCATGCAGGACGAGGGAGGCAAGACAT